AATGTATTATACATTATTTGTTTTCTGTATAGATTCAATAAACAGTACGTACTTGTTTGACTACAGGAAAAAAAAAAAAAAAAAAAAAAAAAAAAAATAAGGTTGAGAAAAAATTTTTTTTTCCTGTATTCTTACAAGTAATATTTATAAATTAAATCTTTTACAAAAAACAATTAATGCATCGCATAAACCATTTTACAAGTTTAAACACTTGTTTTAAATTATTGTTCTTTTTAGTACTTACCTAATAAAATGTCCCGTAATTCATGCATAAGTGATCGTCGGTTATAAATATGGAATGTACACGTATTTAATATTTAAATCCAAAAACAATGACTTCTCAGGCTTCTGGTAGGTTATCGACAGAATTCAAACCATTTTTTTGATAGGAAAACCAACATTTTCGTATGTTTAGTTATCCATTATGCGCCCAGCCTTAACGAAGTAACATTCGCAGAAGTTGAAGGACAACTCCGTAGGTTCAAGTGAACAGTATTTAATTCACCCGCGCGTTCTAATTTCATTTTATTTTAATAGTGCAGTTAAAGAATGCGTTTGACCCTAACATTGATGTTTACGTTCGTGCTGAAGTGAGTATGGAATTGAATATATATATGCGTAATAATTCAACCATCGCTAATAATAATCCATCATTCGAAAGGGTGTCTTGTTCCAACAACTACAAATCCCAGCCAACCTTATTCGCCCAGATGCATATCACCGCGGCAGTCGAATAATAGTTAAAAATCTGCCATCGCAAAAATCATTATATGGAGTGTTAAGAAATGGCTTCTCGATGTTCACGTATGAATGAATGCTTCTGATCTCAAATTTTATAATATCAGTTAGATTGTAATAAGAATATTTTATAGCGAGGCCTTTTTTGGCGCTCAATATTTGATACGCGCGTTGGGGCGATCCGTTTCAGAATTTCTGCCTAGTTTCCTGTCCGATCCAATCTTTGACATGGATACACAAAGATATATGCACTCACTATTCGATGAATTAAAAAAATATCCGGCAAAGATACTCGCGTGGCATCCATATGTATCGATGTTTGCGGTAGCTCATAAGTCGGATGTCATTTTTTTATATGATTTACGTGTTGAAGAGTGGTTTCCAGAAGTTTTGGAGACTGCCTTACAGAAAGATATCACATGCATGTCGTGGAAACCTTTAGGTGGAAACATATTGGCTGTTGGTTGCAAGTAAGTATATTTATTTTTTTCTCATCATTCTCCATTAGAAAGCTAACTTCATACTCCCTAAGACTTGGTATTTGTCTATGGGAATTATCACTTGAACAGAAGAAAGCTTCAGTCAAAGGACCATCTGGTTTCGACGCGTGGATGCGTTACATTAACTATCCCGGTCATGATAATATAGTTTCGATTGCGTGGCACCCTCGTGGATAATATCCTTAATTAAATTATTATGTTAAGTGATACTTTATTGGTCAATTCTTTAACTTTTTGTGATACTTATTTGGCAAGCGGATCGGCAGATGGGTCAATAATTCTATGGAACACCTCATTCGGAAGCGGAACGCCCCTAACAATTAATCGTAAAGTGGCATTTTTGAGCTGGAGCCCTGTTGGAGAGCTGCTATTTGCATCCTTTTTGTAAGATTACAGAATAGAATTAACCTCATTTGAACTTTCTAAATTGTCGTTAATTTATTTATGTTTATTTAGAGATGGTAAAATTGAAGTATGGGAAACTCAAAGGTGGACATCAAAGATTATAACCGCACCAATTCCATTTCGACTTCCTGTTCAGGCAATTACATGTTTTTTTAGACGATGTCGTTTAATCAACACAATCAACACACGCATATATATATTAAGCTTACTGTCAACTCTTATAGACTGCATGTTGGACAATGGATGGTCGCGCCCTATTCTTGGCATTTGAGGGGGATCAATGTGTCCGTTCCCTTTCAATCTCCCCGAATTTAGATGCTGAATGGTTTCCTGAAGAATATATGTCATATATTCCTGACTGGTAATTTTAATAAAAAATATCTATCAATATAATTGAGTGTGAATGTAAAAGGTCAAGAATTCACAGTTGATTTCTGTTAGCACTGGAAAAACAGTTGAACAATTGGCGATTGATCCTACAGGGGAACGACTTGTGGTATGTTTCAAAGATACACCATTGCTGGTGATATTCCACGCTAAGCGACCAACGTTAGTGTCAAGAGGTTCGAGTTTATTAAGTGCTCAAGGAATTATGAGGGGACCATCCTGGCACGATCCTGATGACATTGGCGCTTTTTTAAATCAGCCCGATCCTAAAGCCATTTCGATAACTTTTGCGAGACATTTTGCGAAAGGCGCATTACTGAGTTTGGTCTGTAATGAATTTGCATTTTACGATACTGTTTCCCAAATTATTTGATTAATCTTAATGACTTCCTAGATATGGGAAGATGGCCAAATATCATTTTTACCATTTTATTTTCGCCCAACCGGAAAATAATCATTTACCCCTAAAGATTTTATTCTACATATGTGAGACGTCGTTGATTACTATAACAATATATGTAAGTTGTTAGGGATTGTATAACTATACATTAAACATTTGTTTCTATGGTTTCTCATTTACTCATTATTAATATATTTTTTTTGTCTATATACTAGGAAAGATAGAGTGAATGACCGATTAGTATCCAAAAATAAACAACAATAGATGATCGATGATGCGGATATAAAGTATTTTTAATAAATTCATTTTCAATGAACAAGAATTTTAAGGTAGTCTCATATTCCACGAAATTTATTCATACCCGTACTAGACTCTTTCGATAATTATGGCAATCCCTAAAATGAACAAGCTTAAGTACTTTTGTTAAGACATTATAGAAAGGAATAAGATTAAGATTACCTTGACCACCACCAATGCAGGCGGAACCAATTGCGTATTGTAGTTTGGTTCTTTGAAGCTCATATGCCAAATGGCCTAGAATACGTGAACCAGATGCTGCAAGGGGATGTCCGAGAGCAATGGCTGAAACAGAGAAAATTAGCCAAGAATCGGAATTTTCAACAAAATAAGTGAAGGATATGCTTACCGCCTAAGAAATTGATATTAGTAAATAAAAATACAAATGTAGCCCAGATAACGAAATCACTAACCGCCATTTGTGTTGGTAATTGCGCGATCCAATCCCAATTCTTTTTCTACAGCGAGATATTGAGGCGCGAATGCCTCGTTAACCTCAATTAATCCAATTTCCGAAAGTTTCAATTTAGCCTTTTGCAAAGCACCCTTGATAGCAGGTACCGG